CTTAGTCTGTAGTCTGGACTATAGACTAATTATAGTCTGCACTATAGATTTACTATAGTCTGAACTATAGACTGAATTTAGGCTGGACTATAAATAGACTAACCATAGTCTGGACTATAGACTGAATATAGGCTGGACTATAGACAGACTAGTCTGCACTTCAGTCTGGCAATAGTCTAGTCTATAGATTCACCATAATCTTGACCTATGACTTACTATTGTCTGCACTATAGACTGAATATAGGCTAGACTATATACTGACTATATCCTGGACTATAGACTGACCATAGTCTGGGCTATAGACTGAATTTAGTCTGGAATATAATCTGGTCTATAGATTGACTATATATTGGCTATAGTCTAGTCTATAGATAGACAATAGTCTGGACTGCAGATTGACTATAGTCTGGACTGCAAACTGACTATAGTCTGGACTATAGACTGACTATAGCCTAGAGACTGACTTTAGTCTTGACTATAGACTTACTATAGTCTGGGCTATAGACTGAATATAGGCTGGACTATAGACAGACTATAGTCTGGACGTTAGTATGACTATAGTCTGGTCTATAGATTCACCATAATCTTGACTTTGTCTGCACTATAGTCTGAACTATAGACTATAAACTGAATATAGTCTGGACTATAGTCTGGTCTATAGATTGACTATAGTATGGACTGTAGACTAACTATATTCTGCACTATTTGCAGACAATATTCTAGACAATAAATTAACTATAGTCTCTACATGGACTAACTATGTCAAGACTACCGATTGACTATATCACGACTATAATCTATACCTTTGACTGACTTCAAAAGATATACAGCTTGTTTTTCTAAAATGCAAATTTGTCTTCGTTCTTAAAAATAACGAACGAAATTGGCTTTACGTTTTTGTAACGAAAAAATAAATTTTCATGTGAGTGACAACGAAAGAGCTTTATTTTTCCATACATATATTTTTGGTTTTTAGAAAATGAATTCGTTCGTAATAAACGAAAGAAATGTCAGAAATAGACGATAGGCAAAGGCCTTTCGTTTGCCCAAAAAACAACGAAAATTTTACCAAAATACGTAATAATATGTGGCCATTTGAACCAGAATGTAATTCGCAATACAAACCTTTAAATTTCTTGAGACATTGCATACAATTTTCATGTTGTTTTTAAAAAAACATTTTTTCATAATTTCAATTTTTTTCTAAAATTATTTTATTTTTGTTTATTTTTTAAGGTTAACACCAAACACCTTATTACTACATGAAAAAATATTTAAAAATTCAGAAATGAAATACGTAGGCAATAATGTTCTGTTACGATAGAAAAAGCTCATTTCATTTTAGACATTTTTAAACGAAAACTTTGAAATGTTTTATAAAAACCTAATTTTAAACTTGATCGTAATAAAATGAAATGTTCGTGTGAGAACTAAATTGTTTTAGAAAAACAGGCTGATAATCTATTTTCTCTATAGAAAATTAGCAGTTTTCTCAAAATTACTTAATTTTAAACTTAAAGCTTTTGTCAAATGGTATTAATTTACAAAAAGAAAATCTTTAAATGTATTTTATTTTACTGTTTCCATACAACTTTCTAAACATTTCTCAACATGTTCTTCCTTGAGGGCGAATTTTTACCTTCATACAAAAATATATTTTTCCTTTTATTTTGAAGTAATACTCTTTCCCTATCCCTCTTCCCCTTTTTTCCTCTTTTGAAAAGTTATATTGTAGTACTTTTTGCCAAATACTATATCACCCACAAATGAGATGAAGTGAAAAATTAAAGAAATAAGAAAATAAATAAAAAAATTGTAGTGAATGAATGAAAGAAAACCAAAACGAAAAGAAAAAAAAAAGTATTAAATTATATTTTATGGCATCATTATATTTAAATTACGTATTCAATAAAAATTATTTACATACACTCCAATACACACACATACCAAAAGCAAATAGCACACTATCACAATGTGTACCGCAACATTTAGTCATTTAAAATACATACTTATACTTAGACTTATACTAGGGTACTCACTACTACTCACCTATTTGATAGTGTAACGTTAGTTATATATGAAATTTATAGTATTTCATATACCCAGAGATTCTTATTCGAATATTTTATTTCTAAATATTGAATTGTGAATCTATAGACTATTTTTTTTTTTTCTTTAACCAGTTAGTAGTAGAAGTGTAAGTAAGTATAAGTACTTGTAGTAGTAGTTGCTGCAATAGCAACAACATTACATATTACTACAAAATGTAACTACTATTCTTACTACTTTTTTATTTTAACATTCCTTTCCTTCTTTAAAATACATACATACATTATTCTAAAGATATTTTTGTAGACAAGGCAGATGAAAAAAAAGTTAAAGGGTGTTGAAAATTGTCTAAAAAAGTGATGAAAGTTATTTGAAACTAACAATTAGGCTATAGACAATTGAAAACTACCATTTTTAGTTCAAAAATTAAGTTTCGAAATTAAGTTCGAATTTTCGAACATGTTAAAAAATGTTTAAATTTAATCAAAGTAGAGCTAAAAAGGCATTAAAATACTTTTGCTATGAAATTTTCCACATTTTTCATGATTTCGAAATTTTCGAACTTAAGTTCGAATTTTCGAACATTGCGTAAAATATCATATTTTGAAAGATATAAGCAAAATAACTAATTACTAAGTAATTTTTCAACAAAAAAGTAAAGAAAATTTTTTGAAATTAGAATTTGGGCAATAAAACAGAATTTCGAATTTTCGAACATGTTAAAAAATGTTTAAATTTAATCAAAGTAAAGCTAAAAAAGCATTAGAACACTATTGCTATGAAATTTTCTTCATTTTTCATAATTTCGAAATTTTCGAACTTAAGTTCGAATATTCGAACATGTGCCAAAACATTATATTTTGAAAGTTCTAAGCAAAATTATTAATAATTAGCAAGTTTTTCATGGTTCTACTAAAGAAAATTCAATTTTGAATTTCAAAATCTTATTTTCAAATTTCGAAATTTTCAGAAAAAATTTTAAAAATTTAAATAAAACTTAATTTCAAACTAAAACTCTATAAAACACTAGTTTAGTAAATTTTTGCTTATTTTACAAAATTTCGAACATATCGAAATTTTCGAACTTAAGTTCGAATTTTCGAACATGTGCTAAAACATCATATTTTGAAAGTTCTAAGCAAAATTATTAATAATAAGTTAATATTTCACTGTTTTATTAAAGCAAATTCAATTTCGAATTTCAAAATCATTTTTCGAATTTCGAAATTTTCAACAACAATTTTAAAAAATTTTATAAAACTCAATTTCAAACTAAAAGAACACTATAAAACACTATTTTACCTATTTTTTGGACATTTTGCATAATTTCGAAAGTTTCGAACTTAAGTTCGAAAGTTTCGAACTTTCCTAAAAAAGTTTAATTTTTCGATTTTTAAGTAAAATTCTTATTTTTTATAAATTTACTTAAGAAAATCCAATTTTGAATATAACATTTTTTTCAAATTTCCAAATTTTTTAAAAAAATTTCAAAATATTTTTTAAAATTTCAAAATTTTCCAAATTTTTTAATAAAATTAAATTTCCAACTAAAACAATATCATAACAATTCTAATTATTTTTTGCACATTTAAGATAATTTCCATAAAAATATTTAATTTTGAATTTTAAAATCTTTTTTAAAAATTAATTTCGAATTTCAAAATTTTTTAAATTTTTTTTGTAAAAATCATTCTTAAAGTATAAAAACTCTTTACATAATTTCGAAATTTTCGAACTTAAATTCGAATTTCAAAATCTTTATTTCGAATTTCAAAACTTTCGAAAATGTGTATAAAAATCGCCTTGAAAGTATAAAAACACTTTTAAACCCGATTTTGCCACTTTTTCTTAATCATTTTACATAATTACGAAATTTTCGAACTTAAGTTCGAATTTCAAAATCTTAATTTCGAATTTCTAAACTTTCCAAAGTTGTTTGAAAATGTGTATAAAATCACAATGAAAGTATAAAAATACTTTAAAACCCTATTTTGCCACTTTTTGCTCATTTAAGATAATTTCGAAATTTTCGAACTTAAGTTCGAATTTTCGAACATCCCAAAAAAAAGTTCTTTTTTTCACCTTGAAAGTATAAAAACACTTTAAAACCCTATTTTGCCACTTTTTTGATTGAGTTTACATAATTCTAAAATTTTCGAACTTAAGTTCGAATTTTCGAACATGCCAAAAAAGTTAATTTGATCATTTTTAATAATATAACTATGAATTAAGAGGTTTTTCATATTTTTTTTTTATTATAGCTAATTTCGAAATTTTCGAACTTAAGTTCGAAAATTTTAAAATTATGTAAACTAAATCAAAAAAGTGGCAAAATCGGGTTTTAAAGTGTTTTTATACTTTCAAGGTGAAAAAAAGAACTTTTTTTTGGGATGTTCGAAAATTCGAACTTAAGTTCGAAAATTTCGAAATTATCTTAAATGAGCAAAAATATGAGCGAAAATAACCTTAATATGAATATTTTACACTAAATAAGTCAAAAAATTAATAAAATTTAAATTTTCATAAATTTTTCTAAGAAATTAAAAATTTCGAATTTTCGAAAATTCAAAATTTTTAATTTCGAAATTCTGAAAAATGCTGGAAATTAAGAAATAATTTTATTAAAATAAAATATGGAGTTTACAAAATCATTTTTAGTTGTTTCAAGAATTTCGAAATTTTTTTTTTGAATTTTCGAACATGATATGTGAACCTCCGCTTAACACACCCTTTAACTGCTCAGCTACTATATACGTTTCCTATTTTTTTTTATCATACATTGAGTGATACTGATGGTATTGTATTGTAATTGTTCAAATATTTCTTCTTTTTTTTGCAAATTTTGTTTCTTTCCTCTTCTCTTTTTTCCCTTTTTTTAAATAAAAAAAACATCAAATAAATGCAAAAAAAATATAAATTATTTGTAATTTATAAAAAAAAACCCCTAACAGCATAAAGATAAATCAATTGATAAAGAGAACACTAATGGAATTGGTGGTAGTTATACTTCTTACTCCTTAAACTCCAACAACATCTCCACTTCTTCATCATCAACAATAACATCAACGTCATTGAATTCGAAGAATACATCTGTAAATGCTGTAAAATTACCAGCTTTCAATACAACATCATTAACATCAAAATCAACATCTTCCTCTTCGTTAACAGCATTATCATTATTATCATTACCAAGTCATACTACCAAACTATTTAAGAAAATGAATTTATTTTTATGGTCACCCATGTCATTGCTATCTTCTTCTTCTTCATCATCAACCTCCAAACGAGCCATATCAAAAAAATCCTCTTTAGCTTTAAAGCAACAACAAAAACCACAAATATCCTCATCATCATTATTGTCATCTAATTCATCCATTTTAAAGGATTTAAATAACACTTTAATAACTTCATCTACATCGTCTTCTACTACTACAACAACAATAACCACTTCATCAACATCAACAACAAAAACCAAAACTTCAATCTCCCCTTCATCAACAGTGGCCTCCTCCGCCTCATCATCCTCCAGGGTTACAGCTAGAACCTCCTCCACTGAACTATTACAGAAAACTAAACAGTCTAAGAACAACAACAACAACAATAGTGATAAACTGTCATCACAACAAGTTCAAGAACAACAACAACATCATCAAACATATAAGGCAAATTTAACTTTTTTTGTAATTAACTTAAATATTTTAAACATAATCTAAAGAGTCACTACTAACACCACCTACTATCGTCACCTTAAGACTTAATCGCTATCACCCGCTCAACTATATCCTAACTCACGTCCAAAAAGCTCACTTTCAAAATTTTCACTTTATTAATCACAAATTTACAAATTCACTAGTTCAAAATTATCAAGACCCTTAAAATCCAAATATTGAGATTATATATTAAATAAAAACTGACCACAGTATGGTCTATAGATTGACTATAGTCTGGACTATATACTGACCATAGTCTGCACTATAGACTGACCATAGTCTGAACTATAGTCTGGACTATAGACTGACCATAGTCTGGACTATAGTCTGGACTATAGACTGACTATAGTCTGGACTATAGACTGACTATAGTCTGGACTATAGACTGACTATAGTCTGGACTATAGACTGACTATAGTCTGGACTATAGACTGACTATAGTCTGGACTATAGACTGACTATAGTCTGGACTATAGGCTGACTATAGTCTGGACTATAGGCTGACTATAGTCTGGACTATAGGCTGACTATAGTCTGGACTATAGACTGACTATAGTCTGGACTATAGACTGACTATAGTCTGGACTATAGACTGACTATAGTCTGGACTATAGACTGACTATAGTCTGGACTATAGACTGACTATAGTCTGGACTATAGACTGAATATAGTCTGGACTATAGACTGACTATAGTCTGGACATAGACTGACTATACTCCGGACTATAGACTAACTATACTCCGGACAATAGACTAACTATACTCCGGACTATAGACTGACTATAGTCCGGACAATAGACTAACTATACTCCGGACTATAGACTGACTATAGTCCGGACTATAGACTGACTATAGTCCGGACTACAGACTGACTATAGTCCGGACTACAGACTGACTATAGTCTGGACTATAGACTGACTATAGTCCTGGACTATAGACTGACTATAGTCTGGACTATAGACTAACTATAGTCTGGACTATAGACTAACTATAGTCTGGACTATAGACTAACTATAGTCTGGACTATAGACTGACTATAGTCTGGACTATAGACTGACTATAGTCTGGACTATAGACTGACTATAGTCCGCACTATAGACTGACTATACTCCGGACTATAGACTAACTATACTCCGGACTATAGACTGACTATAGTCCGGACTACAGACTGACTATAGTCCGGACTACAGACTGACTATAGTCTGGACTATAGACTGACTATAGTCTGGACTATAGACTAACTATAGTCTGGACTATAGACTAACTATAGTCTGGACTATAGACTAACTACCCTAACTATAGTCTGGACTATAGACTAACTATAGTCTGGACTATAGACTACTATAGTCTGGACTATAGACTAACTATAGTCTGGACTATAGACTAACTATAGTCTGGACTATAGTCTGGACTATAGACTAACTATAGTCTGGACTATAGACTAACTATAGTCTGGACTATAGACTAACTATAGTCTGGACTATAGACTAACTATAGTCTGGACTATAGACTAACTATAGTCTGGACTATAGACTAACTATAGTCTGGACTATAGACTAACTATAGTCTGGACTATAGACTAACTATAGTCTGGACTATAGACTAACTATAGTCTGGACTATAGACTAACTATAGTCTGGACTATAGACTAACTATAGTCTGGACTATAGACTAACTATTGTCTGGACTATAGACTGACTATAGTCAGGACTATATACTGAATATAGTCTGGACTATAGACTGACTATAGTCTGGACTATATACTGAATATAGTCTGGACCATAGCCTGACTATAGTCTGGACTTAAAATCCAAATATTGAGATATTTAATAAAAACTCTAGACTATAGACTGACTATAGTCTGGACTATATACTGAATATAATCTGTAGACTAACTATAGTTCGGACGATCGACTAAATATAGTTGACTAAATATAGTCTGTAAAATAGACTGACTATAGTCTGAACTGTCTGGAATATAGACTGACCATAGTCTGAACTATAGACTGACTATAGTCTGTACTATAGACTGACTATAGTCTGTACTATAGACTGACTATAGTCTGTATTATAGACTGACTATAGTCTGTTTTATAGACTGACTATAGTCTGTGTTATAGACTGACTATAGTCTGTATTATAGACTGACTATAGTCTGTATTATAGACTGACTATAGTCTGGACTATAGACTGACTATAGTCTGGACTATAGATTGACTATAGTCTGGACTATAGACTTACTATAGTCTGGACTATAAACTTACTATAGTCTGGACTATAGACTTACTGTAGTCTGGACTATAGACTGACTATAGTCTGGACTATAGACTGACTATAGTCTGGACTATAGACTGACTATAGTCTTGACTATAGACTGACTATAGTCTGGACTATAGGCTGACTATAGTCTGGACTATAGACTGACTATAGTCTGGACTATAGACTGACTATAGTCTGGACTATAGACTGACTATAGTCTGGACTATAGACTGACTATAGTCTGGACTATAGACTGACTATAGTCTGGACTATAGACTGAATATAGTCTGGACTATAGACTGACTATAGTCTGGACATAGACTGACTATACTCCGGACTATAGACTAACTATACTCCGGACAATAGACTAACTATACTCCGGACTATAGACTGACTATAGTCCGGACAATAGACTAACTATACTCCGGACTATAGACTGACTATAGTCCGGACTATAGACTGACTATAGTCCGGACTACAGACTGACTATAGTCCGGACTACAGACTGACTATAGTCTGGACTATAGACTGACTATAGTCTGGACTATAGACTGACTATAGTCTGGACTATAGACTGACTATAGTCTGGACTATAGACTAACTATAGTCTGGACTATAGACTAACTATAGTCTGGACTATAGACTAACTATAGTCTGGACTATAGACTGACTATAGTCTGGACTATAGACTGACTATAGTCTGGACTATAAACTGACTATAGTCCGCACTATAGACTGACTATACTCCGGACTATAGACTAACTATACTCCGGACTATAGACTGACTATAGTCCGGACTACAGACTGACTATAGTCCGGACTACAGACTGACTATAGTCTGGACTATAGACTGACTATAGTCTGGACTATAGACTAACTATAGTCTGGACTATAGACTAACTATAGTCTGGACTATAGACTAACTATAGTCTGGACTATAGACTAACTATAGTCTGGACTATAGACTAACTATAGTCTGGACTATAGACTAACTATAGTCTGGACTATAGACTAACTATAGTCTGGACTATAGACTAACTATAGTCTGGACTATAGACTACTATAGTCTGGACTATAGTCTGGACTATAGACTAACTATAGTCTGGACTATAGACTAACTATAGTCTGGACTATAGACTAACTATAGTCTGGACTATAGACTAACTATAGTCTGGACTATAGACTAACTATAGTCTGGACTATAGACTAACTATAGTCTGGACTATAGACTAACTATAGTCTGGACTATAGACTAACTATAGTCTGGACTATAGACTAACTATAGTCTGGACTATAGACTAACTATAGTCTGGACTATAGACTAACTATAGTCTGGACTATAGACTAACTATTGTCTGGACTATAGACTGACTATAGTCAGGACTATATACTGAATATAGTCTGGACTATAGACTGACTATAGTCTGGACTATATACTGAATATAGTCTGGACCATAGCCTGACTATAGTCTGGACTTAAAATCCAAATATTGAGATATTTAATAAAAACTCTAGACTATAGACTGACTATAGTCTGGACTATATACTGAATATAATCTGTAGACTAACTATAGTTCGGACGATCGACTAAATATAGTTGACTAAATATAGTCTGTAAATAGACTGACTATAGTCTGAACTGTCTGGAATATAGACTGACCATAGTCTGAACTATAGACTGACTATAGTCTGTACTATAGACTGACTATAGTCTGTACTATAGACTGACTATAGTCTGTATTATAGACTGACTATAGTCTGTTTTATAGACTGACTATAGTCTGTGTTATAGACTGACTATAGTCTGTATTATAGACTGACTATAGTCTGTATTATAGACTGACTATAGTCTGGACTATAGACTGACTATAGTCTGGACTATAGATTGACTATAGTCTGGACTATAGACTTACTATAGTCTGGACTATAAACTTACTATAGTCTGGACTATAGACTTACTGTAGTCTGGACTATAGACTGACTATAGTCTGGACTATAGACTGACTATAGTCTGGACTATAGACTGACTATAGTCTTGACTATAGACTGACTATAGTCTGGACTATAGACTGACTATAGTCTGGACTATAGACTGACTATAGTCTGGACTATAGACTGACTATAGTCTGGACTATAGACTGACTATAGTCTGCACAATAGTCTGACTATAGTCTGGACTTTAGAATGACTATAGTCTGGACTATAGAATGACTATAGTCTGAACTATAGATTGAATATAGTCTGGACTATAGACTGACTATAATCTGGTCTATAGACTGACCATAGTCTGGACTATAGACTGACTGAAGTCTGGACTATAGCTTGGACTATAGACTGTCTATAGTATGGACTATAGACTGACTATAGTCTGGACTATAGATTGACTATAGTCTTGACTATAGACTTACTATAGTCTAGACTATAGACTTACTATAGTCTGGACTATAGACTTACTATAGTCTGGATTATAGACTTACTGTAGTCTGGACTATAGACTGACTATAGTCTGGACTATAGACTGACTATAGTCTGGACTATAGACTGACTATAGTCTGGACTATAGACTGACTATAGTCTGGACTATAGACTGATTATAGTCTGGACTATAGACTGACTATAGTCTGGACTATAGACTGACTATAGTCTGCACAATAGTCTGACTATAGTCTGGACTTTAGAATGACTATAGTCTGG